TCCACGTTCCCAGCAACTTGATTGATAACGGTTAAAGGCACAGCCTGGGTGTCCACCGTGAGCTGAACAGAGTGAGAGTGTGCAGTGTGGAGTAGAATCTCTCAGCGTTTAACGGGCAGGAAATTCTGTCCCACACACAACACAATGAAGCCTGCCATTATTAGCGTAGACGAAATAAGCGGGACATGGAAGGACAGATACTGCATGTCTCCTTCGTGAGGACAATGGGGAGGGAGAGCCCACAGGGGAGAAGCCCATGGTCGTTCCAGAGGTTGTGGAGAGCAGTGTCAGCCCACAGATGAAGAGATCTGGATGCTGGAGATGTTGCTCACACACACACACACACACACACACACACACACACACACGTGCTTACAGTGGGCCATATGGATATTTTACCACAGCTTCAAAAATCTAATTTTTCTTTAAAAACTTTATTCTTCTCTCATACAATACATCCTGATCACAGCCTCTCCTCCCTCCCCTTCTGCCAGTTCCTCACCCCAGTTACCCTCTCCCCCAGATCTACTGCTCCTCCAGTTCGCTTCAGAAAAGCGCAGGCTTCCCAGGGATATCAATCAAACATGGCATAACAAGATGCAGTAAGACTTGGCATAAACCCTGATATCAAGGCTGGAAACAACCTAGTTAGAGGAATGAGTCCTGCAAGCAGGCAAAAGAATCAAACACACTCCCTCTCCCACTGTTGGGAGCCCAGAAAAACACCAAGTTAAACAACCACAGCATGTTTGCAGAGTCCTAGAGCGGACCCAGGCAGCCTCTGTCTTTGTGAACCCCTGGGAGCCCTGCTTAGTTCATTCTGGGGCTGTGTTCTCCTGGTGTCCTTGACCCCTCTGGCTCCTACAGTCCTTCCTCTTCCTCTTCTGCAGGGTTCCAGGAGCTCCGACTAATGTTTGGCTGTGGGTCTCTGCATCTGCTCCCATCAGCTGCTGGAGAAAACCTCTCTGATGACGACTGAGCTAGACTGGGCCTGTGAGTAGAGCAGAACAATTAGGAATCAGCTCACTGACATTTTTTTCTCAGTCCTGTTTGGTTCTACCCTAGGTCTGTGAGCCCAGTAGCTTCCAGTTCCTGGCCTTCCAGGCGGTGTTGGGCACAGGCTCCCTCTTGTGGCTTGGTCCTCAAGTTAGACAGGTCATTAGTTGGCCATACCCACAGACTCTGAGTCACCATTGCCCCAGTGCCTCTTGTCAGCAGGGTCAAAGGTTTTGTGGCTGGATTGGTGTCCCAGTCCCACCACTGGGAGTTTGACTGGTTATAGATGATGGCCAGCTCAGCTGCATATCCTCCATTGCTAGGAGTCCTTGCTAGGGTTGACCTGATAGATTTTAGGACGTTTCCACTGCACTAGGTTTCCATTCTGCCCCTTAAATGTCCACCTAATCTAGTCATCTCTCTCTCTCTCTCTCTCTCTCTCTCTCTCTCTCTCTCTCCACTGTCTCTCTCCACTCCTCCACTCCATCCCCCATCTGTTTCTTCCTGCTCGCATTCCCACCTGCCCCCAAATCCACCCACAAGTCTATTCTATTTCCCCTTCCTAGGGGATCCATGCATCTCTCTTAGAGCCCTCCTTGTTACTTAACCTCTCTGAGTCTGTGGATTATGCATGATTATCCTTTACTTAATAGCTAATATCCACTTACAAGTGAGTACATAACATTTTTGTTCTTCTGGTTCTGGGTTATCTTGCTTAGGATGATTTTTTTTCTAGTCCCATCCATTTGTCTGAAAATTTCATGACATCATGTTTTCTAGTATCTGGGTTGTACTCCATTGTGTAAATAGACCACATTTTCTTTATCCAGCCTTGGGTTGAGGGACATCTCAAACCCAAACTTCTTTGGGAAAAATGATAGCCAAAGGCGTCTGGAGAGATTGTTCAGATGTTAAGAGACTCACGAGGCTGTGATTCAACATTTCCGTTCTTGTCAATGACCAGGGTTCAATTCCCAGCACCCAGAGGACCGCTTACAACCATCCTTAGTTTCAATTTTAGAGGATCCAGCACCCTCTTCTGGTCTCCTCAGATCAGACATGCATACAGCGCAGTCACAGACATGCAGGCTAAACACCCACACACATCAAATATGAATAAGAAATAGATATTTAAAAATTAAAGAAAAGAAACATTTGCAATCCTTTGACTTAAGAGAATTAGAGGAGGAGAAAGCAAGGTCCTGCCCAGCGCCATGACAGACTGAGCAGGACAAGGAGGCTCATATGCATGCCCGGGGCTGTGTGCCCTGGGCTCCTAAGAGAAAACACAGGTTTGCCTGGTGCCTTACGCTGCTGGGCAGTTGGGCATCATTATGGTGAGCAAATGTATGGAATGGTATGATGAAGGAGAGAGGGAGGAGGATGGAGGGAGGGAGGGAGGGAGAGAGAGAGAGAGAGAGAGAGAGAGAGAGAGAGAAGATGATAATGGTTCATCTCCTCACTTCTCATAGACACAGGCATATCTGAAGAGGTCAAAGTGGTGAGGAGCAGGCTGAGGTTCTGACTTGATTACCATCCAGGGCCCTTGTCTGGGTTCACGGCCCTGTTGTAGCCATGGTCTGTGTTGATGCCTCTGGCTCCTGATACTATTGAAGACCCAGAGGGTAGGGTTGTCCAAAGTTGTCCCCACCCCTCTGCAACACTAGAGAGAACTGGTGTTGCCCTCACCAGCAGAAGCACTCAGAAGAGAGGGTCTCTGAGAGGGAGGGAGGGAGGGAGGGAGGGAGGGAGGGAGGGAGGGAGGGAAGGAGAGAAGGAGGGAAGGAGGGAAGGAGGGAAGGAGGAAGAAGGAGGTTGGAAATCAGAGACATTTCATCTCAGTCACCAGAAGACCAGAAGGTGTGGGCTCAGGAGTCGCTGCTTTTCTCAAGGGAACCATCTCTTTGTTATCTTTGATTCCTGCTCCTGTCTGCCTTTTCCTGCTGCCTTTGCCCCTGGAGGTCAGGGCATTTCAGCTGATGGGCTGGGGTAGTGAATAGGGGTGTATAAATAGGGAGATCTGAGTTGCAGTCCTTCAACCTTGATTTGGGTGTTTTCAGGTTTCTACTGAAAAAGGCCCCCAGCTCTTAGTAAGCCACCATACCTCAGCACAACTGACTCCATGATGGGAGCACCATTCAGGCTGTAAAACTCAGCATGTAGACAGAACCACAAAATGGAAACAAAGACTTAACCCATCAAAGTCCATGCTTCTGAGAAAGCCCCTAAGTGTACTAACCTTGCCTTTTTACTTCTGTGGTTCTGCTCCTGGCTAACTGTTCTTGTAAACTGAAGCGTGTCAGCCTAGGATAAGGATTTTGTGTTTAAAAGCTTCCTCTGAGAAAGGCTCAGTGCTATACTGGGATTCTGAACACCCTTGTAGTCACTGGCCAGTCAATAAAGACTTTCTATTGGCTTAAACCCATGTCTGAGTCATCTTCTCTCTTGGATACCCTACCACATACAAGTTTCACTGACTGGAATCCCATGCTGGTGCTCAGGTCTATCTTACAGTGTGTGGTTTCCTGTTCATGAGGGTGGTTTCTTGACTTCCTTCTAGACTAGAGAATAATAGAAAGAGCAGCTGAAGGTCTTGGTTTTACTGGCAGCACAGTAACTTGACTTGTGTGCTTTGATGTACACTGTTATAGGCATCAACTCCAGAGATGGCAGGTTTTTCTGCTACAGGAAGTTATATAAATGACATCATGGTCTCTCATGCAAGCTCTAAGCCTGCTTTGCCAGAGCATTGGTTTAGTGTGCTGTGCAGTGGGCATAGCAAACACTTATCCAGTTGATGGCCAGTAGCTAGAAAGTGCTCATTTAGAGAAAGACCCATGTTGAATGTGGTTGTGGACCATAAAAGACAATTTGCCCTCTGTCTACTTTTCTTCAAATAATTGCGTCAAAGAGAAGGTGGTTCTGACTCACTCTCCTAGTTAAAATAAGACAGGGGTTGACTTAAGCTTCTGAATACATGAAACATTTGTACAAAGGTATCTTCTGTGAAAATGATTTGTAGTCTGTAGACTTTACTCAGGAGACACCTTGAGATGTACAATCCTTTCTTTCAGTTGAAATATTTTTTACTTTCTCCAATTAAACTTAATCTTTAAAGATTAAAAACAGTAAAGATTACAGTCAGGACAGTTTGACACTTTCTGCATGTTTGGTCACATGTCTCCTTCTCTTGGTTGGTTGTTTCATATTATAGTTTTCCCCAATGGTCAGCAATATTTATTTAACCGTAGGTTATAGATGTGGGCAGAGCCAGTTGATATGAGACATCATCTTGCCTACCTCCCCTTCCATCGCTGAGAGGGGCCGAGGTTTATATACTAAGTCTCAGGATCCCAAACTAGTCAATATATCCACCCCCAACTTGCTTGATCTCTTACTTAAACATCGCTTCCCCTATCTCCCCAAATCACCTACTGACCCAGCTTGACACATGGAGATTGGTTTTAATTTCACTGGTCCTTCCTGCCACCCTGTCCCCTTTATGGGCTGGCCCCTCGTCAAGAGTTCTATTCCCTGTGCTGTCACCGCCACCATCCTCAGCACCTCTGTCATCATATGGAAGGTGCCCGATGGACAGAGCGGGAGTTGGTTTAGCTGATGCTGGACAGAAAGGGCTGTGGCTCACAACACATTGTCCTGTGGGAAGGGAGGCTTGGGGCCTCCTACTCCCAGCTTTTCTGTTTCCCTGACCTTCCCATTACACGTCCCTGCACACCCCTCTCTGTTCATACCCACAAACCACTATGTGTTGTTAGACCCATTCCCGCAATCTCTAACCCTCTCTGGTCCCTCAGTTCAGGCTGCTGTCACATCTTTCCTTGACCCTCTAGCTGTCCATATTAACCATACAGTGAGCCACAGAAACACAAACTTCTCAACGCTCAGTTCTATAGACTCACTCCCACACTCTCTGCTTCCCCAACTTTCATTGCTGTCGCTGTGATAAACACCCAACAGAAAAGCAACTGAGAGGAGAAAGCTTTTATTCAGCTTGTAGTTCTAGGCTATAGTCCATCATTGAGGGAGTCAAGGCAGGAAGTCAAAGCAACTAGTCACAGTGCATCCACAGTCCAGCGCAATGAGAAGTGAGTTCCTGCATGCATGCTTACCGGTGCACAGCCTGCTTTTCCTTATACAGTTCAGAACCATACCTAGAGAACAGTGCTGCGCATAGTGAAGGAATTTAGAGTCATAAAGAAAAATCTCTCCCAAGCACAACAGCTTGAGCTAGACAATCATCGAGATTGCCTTCCCACAGGATTCTAGATTGTGTCGAGGTGACTGTTAAGACTAACTACCTCATTCTTCCTCCAGCAAAATGCCTCAGTGTCTCTAATGGGTCTAAGTCATCTCAGCTGACCTCTGGGTTGCTCAGGGGAGGCTGTCACTAAGAAACCTGGAGGGTCTTGTGGATCTTGGCAATCTCTCTCACCTTCTCCTCTAGCTCCTGAGCCAGCGCCCGCAGTTCTTTGGCTGACTCTGACTTTGCTCCGTCATATAAATGCATAGATTCTCTTACAAGGTCATACACATCGACTGCGAGGAAGACACCTGCAATGGCTGCCCCTCTGATTCGGGCCTTTTTGGTCATTGCCAGAGCAGTGCCTTCAAAGACATTCTTCACCTGACTAGCTTGTTGGGCAGAGATTCTTCTAGCAGTCATGAGGAGCTTGGCATCTGCCACTAAGTGAGGGTTGGCTCTGGCATCCCCAGTGGCACGGATGTTTTGTCTCAAGGTTTTCAATTGTTTGAAGACATTATAGAAGTCTCTAGAAAGTGTGTGAACAATCTTTTTCAGGATAGGAACCTTCTTCTTAGTATCCATGGTGTCTGACAACAGGCGCTTGGCTTCGGCTTCATCTGACCACTTGCTTGTTTCTTCCACAACTACAGTGGCAGCACCAATCACAGTAGCCACTGCCCCCAGCCCCACCCCAGTGGCTGAGAGCAGCAGACTGCCCCCTGCTGTCACAGGTGCCAGAGCTAGACCCAGGATGCCCAGGACTCCAGAGGCAACGCTAGTGGTGTTGGTCACCACGTTGGAGATGGTGCAGCCCTTGTGCACCTGGTCAACGTGGTCAGCCAGAGCTCGGAGCTTCCTGATGTTTCCCTCTATCTTCTTTTTCAACTGAGGAAATTCTTCCACAAACCTTTTCCTGTCCTGCAGTTCTTTTTGAAGCCGTTCTTTGTCCTCCACGACTGGGAGCTGCTCCAGAGCCTTACGCAGTGCAGCTTCCTCATCTCTGTAACAGAAGAGGTCAGAGCATCAGAAAGACGGCTTGTTCGCTGTAAGATGGGTTCCCCAAGATCTATCTCATGCAAATCACAGAATTACGTTATAGAACCAATGGGAAAGAGTTTTACTATGTGCAGGACTCTGCATTCTACAAGAAACCTCAGACTCTCTACATTCTACAGGGTGACCACAGACACTCAATGGTTCTTAGTCCGTAGGTGTCAGTGTGTGAAGTCATGTTAAGACACACATTAGTGACAGGCACATGATAAAGACGGCTCCACTCAACGTCTGTGCCATGACTACCAAATATTTGCTCATTGGGAGCTCTGTAGGTGAGCACTGGGGTGTGGGATCAGAGTAAAATGGGGGACATTCTGAGGGATCCTGTGGAGATGACCTGGACAATTCAGCCTCTGCCACCACCTTCCAAGCGTCTTTTTTGGCCAACAGGAACTGCAGGTCTCTTCTGCTTGCTGAGTCCTGCAGATACTTAATGACTTCCTGGATGAAGGGTTTCCTCAATACTCGGGAAGAAAAAGAATGAGGTTAGAGGTCAGCATGGAAGAGCCTAAATGGCAAAGAGCGTATGGCATTTGATAGCCAGAGTATTCAGCATCTGCCATTGGGGCATGAATGGAGTCAGCAATGCGAGGGAATGTGTTGTGCCTTCAATTCACGTATAAAAAAGCCTTCTGGATGTGAACAGTTTTAGAGGTGGGCCTTTAAGAAAGAGAAGAAATGAGGATTAGATGATGTCATAAATATATGTCCCTAATCCATGGGAGTGTGACACTGATAACAAAAAGAATAGATACTACTATGTGTATGATGTCATCTATCTGTCTGACTGTCTATCTATCTATCTATCTTGGTGGTCCTCAACCTTCCTAATGTTGTGACCATTTTATATGGTTCCTCAAGTTGTGGTGATTCACCCCACATAAAATTATTTTCACCCATAGGTTGAGAACTGCTGACCTATCTTCTGACCTGTCATCGTCAATCTCTGTGACTATGCGTCTGTACCTCCACTTGGTCCCTTCCCGCCTCTCTGTCTCCATGCACGCAGGAGAGGAGGTGTGCAGACTCCCAGTTAGGTTGCCACTACACACCTGGAGGAGTGCCCTCACCACACCTACCTGCCATTCCTTCATTGTGGACTTTGACTTTCAGAACTGAGAGAGACAGAAGTCTTAGGTTCAAGCCCTCAGCCTGAGGGATGATGGGATGGCAGCTGTGTCGACTCATATACCTATCTGTCGTGGATCTTCATGGTGGTTTGCAATGAAATGAAATGTCTTCTGCTCTGAACAGTTGGAAGGTGTCACTTTCAGTCTCAGAAAGTGTCAACCTTGCAAGGGTGACTTCCATCTTCCTTAAGGCTCTTGCATGTCAACACTGGCATCAGAGCCTATGAATGGGACTTACAACCCTTTGTGACCATTTTATATGGTTCCTCAAGTTGTGGTGATTCACCCCACATAAAATTATTTTCACCCATAGGTTGAGAACTGCTGACCTATCTTCTGACCTGTCATCGTCAATCTCTGTGACTATGCGTCCGTACCTCCACTTGGTCCCTTCCCGCCTCTCTGTCTATCTATCTATCTATCTTGGTGGTCCTCAACCTTCCTAATGTTGCGACCATTTTATATGGTCACATTTCATTTCATTGCAAACCACCATGAAGATCCACGACAGATAGGTATATGAGTCGACACAGCTGCCATCCCATCATCCCTCAGGCTGAGGGCTTGAACCTAAGACTTCTGTCTCTCTCAGTTCTGAAAGCCAAAGTCCACAATGAAGGAATGGTTTGTAACATTAGCTTGTTCGATAAAGGTAGCATTTCAATGAAAACAACTAACAATGTCAGAAATAATTGAATGTAGGAAAAGTAAGGCTAGCTGTGGTGGTTTGAACGAGAATGACCCCCATAGGCTCATTAATTGGGATGCTTGGTCCCCCATTGGTAGATGTTTTTGGGAATGGTGGCCTTGTTGGAGGAGATATATCACTGGGAATAGATCTTGAGGTTTCAGAAGCCCACTGCACTCTCAGCTCCCCACCCCCTTTCCACCTCATGCTTGTTGATCAGATAAAAGCTCTCAGCTTTGTCTCCAGCACATTCCTGCTTGTTGCCATGATGGTCAAGGGCTCATCCTCTGAAACTGCAAGCCCCCATTAAATCCTGTCTTCTCTAAGTTGCGTTAGTCATGGTATCTCAGCACAGCAATGGAGAGGGGACTAAAACGGCAGATGGCACTAAGGCGGGAGTTATTGCTGGGACAGGCTTGACCGTGGCAGTTTTTATGGATAAATCTTATTGGCAGAGGAGATTTCGAGACAGCCTTATGTTGACTCTGCCACTTGGCTGTTCTACAGACCCACAGCTAAAAAGAGCAAGCCAGTGAGTGCCGTTTCTCTGTGGCCTCTGCACCAGCTTCTGTCTTGGGTTCCTTATCTCCTTGAGTTCCTGACATTGATGGTCTTTGCTGATTAACTGTGGTGTGGAAATTGGAAGTGAAATAAACCCCTTTATCTGGGCTTACTTTGGTCCCAGTGTTTAATGACAGCAACGGGAACCCATGTACATATCCTAGCTGCAGTGAGTTTTCATACGAGACGAAGGACTCATTCGCAGGAGCTGCCAAGCTTGGGAAAGCTGGTGTGAACAATATCACACACAAGTGTTTTCCTGTGTGGTGGGGAGCTTGGAGTCTCCCCAGACTTTGCAAGTTGTCACTAAGCCATATGACCTGCTCTCCTCCACTTCTCTAGGCCCTCCTAACCCTTCTTGAGAGGCGAGGGAGGGAGGAGGGGAATCTGAGCATGTTTCTCAAGACAGGGTCAAGAAAGAGAACTCCTTATACCCAGGTAGAGGAGTCTCCTCTTGGCACATTTTGGAGGCTTTCTTTTTATCTTCAACTCAACAAGCTCTCAATGTGGAGGTCCAAGGTTCCAGACCACACTCAGGAAACAGTAGAGAAGAGGAATCCATACCTTTGGAGGCCATGAGGGCTGCAGGGTCCCTGAAGACAGGTGTGGGGTCTCTCTCAGTTTTTATGCACAGCTCTCTGTGGGTCTGGGCTAAAAGGAAGAGAAAAACAAACTATAGGACTGAGTGGGGACAGCTTCAATGGAGGCTGCTGTCTCATGGTTCTCTGATGTGGGATTCCCCTCTGTATGTTTTAATATGTTTTATTGCCATTGGTTAAAAAAGAAGCTGCTTTAGCCTATGGCAGGGCAGAATATAGCTAGGCGGGAAAACTAAGCTGAATGCAGGGAGACAAAAGGCAGAGTCAGGCAGACACTGTCCAAGAAGCAAGATGTGAGGTAACGAACCACAAGCCTCTATTATAAAATAATAGAAATGGGTTAATTTAAGATGTAAGAGCTAGCTAGGAATATGCCTGAGCTGTTGGCCAAACAGTGCTGTAATTAATATAGGTTCTGTGTTATTATTTGTGTCTGGGCTCCCAGGAGACGAAAGCACAGTCTCCATTTACACTTCTCACTGTGATAGCAGAGTCAGAAAGTGACTGTCCCTGCCCTGCTGCTTAAGGACCCATTGGGCCTCCCTTTCTTCCATCGCCCTAGCCAGAGCAGAAGCTTCTGGTCCTGCTAGGTCCATGGAACAGGAGGTCAACTGGAGACATGGCCATAGGTAGGGACTGAGTCCCTTCTGGAGATGAGAAGAAATGTGCAGGCACCTGGCATGAGAACTGTGTGCAGCATGGGTTCTTACTAAAGGCACCATATGGCAAGAGAACTGGCATCCCTATCTCATGTGTCCTGTTTTATAGGCTACAGGACCCCAGAGGCTGATAAGAAGAAAGACTGGCATTTGGGGTGACTTATACTTGGTTGAAATGTCTGCACTCTTGTTCAGGGAGGCCGCTTACTTGTTCCTGGCTGTCCAGAACTGAAATAATCACACAGAAATTATATTAATTCCAATACTGTTTGGCCAATAGCTTAAGCGTCTTTCTGGCTAACTCTTTTATCCTAAACTAACCCATTTCCACTAATCTGTGTATTGCCACGTGGCTGCGGCTTACTGGATAAAGTTCCGTCCCCTCCTCCCGTCTCGACTCCACTTACTCTGTCTCTATATATCTTTGGCAGCCTGGCTATATCTGTTAAATCATTGGCTGAAAGCAGCTACTTTATTAAACAATGGCAATAAAACATATTCATAGCATACATCACCTCCCACATCACTCTGATTTTCCTGTTTTGGTGTCACTCTGTGCTTGTGGCATAGCCCAATGAGAAAGTATCAGTGGGCGTAGGTCCTGGAGCTAACACCTAGTATCACAAAATAAATGAAGGGAAAAGAGAGTGGAAAGGCCAGGTCTCCTTCATGCTTCCTTTAGACCACCACCTCCCCCATGCAGTAATCTGCTACCCAAAGACCCTCTTAGCATCTGCATCTTCTGGATGGGAGCCAGAACGAAGTGTAGCTGGTCCCAATCCATCCATTCTGATGGTCAGCTGGAAGCCCAGGCTGGGAGCCTCTACTCCCTTGCTGTGCACAAACTCTCCAAGTGGGGCAGATAGAGGCTCTCAGCAAGTCTCGATTCCCTTTGGTGGAGCCTTTCCTAGGACAAGGAGACAGGGGCTCAGGACAGCTAGAACCTGAGAATCCTTAATTAGCTCCCCAGTCATGTTCAAGCCCATGCATGCTGGACAGAGGGTCTCCCGCCTACTGCATTCCCCCTTCATTCCAGTATCTCCCCCATTTCCCTTACTTACCTCATTGGCCCTCCAAGCAGCTTCCAGGGCTATAGGACTGTGAGTCTGTCCCTCACAGGAAATGTCACCCAGTCTTATATGGTGCCCAAACCAAACAGGACAGCCTCATTCCATGTGACCAGACTGCTGCTGTCTGGAATCTGGAGACATTCATTGAATATTTAGCCACTAACTTCTGATGACACAGAAAGTGTGGATTAAAAAACAATAATAAAGTTTCTAGGACTTTCCGATTTTACAGACACAGAGATAATCTCCTCTACCCCCACCTGTGGTCTGGACTTTGACCTTGGGCTGACAGAGCTCGAAGTGCTGAATATGGGGTTGTACAACTTGTCCCTCCATATCCCACACTGTGCCCTGCCCACCCAAACACACAGGCCAGTCTGTCTTCCTTCTCCACCCCTCACAGGCTGTGCAGAGGCTGGGGAGGCCCAGGGGAGGCGGGCCTGCCTCCCAACTGCTCAGCATGATTCACAGAATCCACAACAAGACTCAGATTCCCCCAGAGCCTTGGCAGGAACACATGCTCAGAGACACAGTGTGCGGCACAACTCTTGGGCACCTTGAAGCCCCCAAGTCAGTCAACATTTGTGGAATCTGGTCTTGGCAGCAGTAACTACCCAGGGCCAACCTCAGGGTGCACAGGACACATGAACCAGTGAGGTCGGGGTTGTCTGCCCGCCTTTCTCTACACCCTTCATTCCCTCCATTTCCAAAGGAGTGAGGCCCCACAACAGCCACCTGCCCTGGGGGCCTGTTTTCCAGGTCTCAGGCAGACTGGAACTTCATCAGGCTCTGGGAACCTTGGTGATCTCATCTGAGGGTTTTCACCCTTTCTTGTGCTTATGACAGAGAGACAACCAGAGCCCACCATGACTGCAAGTCTACACTGGGTTCTGGGCTGATGTCTGACCTCGATCATTTTTTTTTCTCTGAGAGAGCTTCTGGGAGGAGGAGTAGGTAGGGGAGATTAGGAGGTCCCCAACTTACCAGAAAAACCTTCCCCTGGTTGAACTGGAATCTTCCCTGTGCATCTGCTCACTGGCTGCACAACAGGGTCCCAATAAGGGGCAGCTTCATCTTTCTGCTGGTTAACACACAGCAAATACACAGCAATAGAAACTGAAAGCCCCAACTTCCTGAGCAAAGTCAGACCCACACAGTAGAATACCACCTATAGAGTACCACCCACATTTCCACCCTACTTCCTGACCCACACAAAGGAACAACCTTAGCTTGACATCCCAAGCCTTTCTCAGTCCATAACATCTTGAATGGGACTTCTCTGTGAGCTTGAGCA